CTCCCCTCCCCTCCCCCTTGACACTCTCTCCACCTGTTTTCCCTCCCAGCCCCTCTACCTGCTCCTTTCTCCGGCTCTCTGCAGCTGAGACTGGTTTCTTCTCGGGGTCCTATCTGTGCACCTCACTCCACCTTCCTGTGGGTTCTCTCCTTTGTCTCCCTGGTTTGCCGTCGCCTCCATCCCTAGCTCACTGCATTTTCCATTTCTCAGACAGCGAGCCCTCACTGTGCTCTAGGTGCCAGGATAGAACATTAATAACCCATCTGAGAGTTGCTATTTGTTGGCCCAGGGTCAAGAAACCAAGCGAGCTCACATCGACTGAAGGCTTACTGAGGGCCAAGGACAGCTCGAGCGCTGTCACATGTGTGACCCTACCTTTTCCATCCACAGCCCTGGGTGGGGGTTGCTGCTGTCGACCCCCCTTGCAGGTGGCCATGCTCAGAGTTGAACCCACTCAGTTCGACTCTGAAGCCTGTGTGTCCCCTTAAACACTTGCCCTCAGCATCACCCAGATGAAATGCTGGGTACAAGGATGTAGCCACTCACCTTTGAGCTCCCCCCAAATAAACTTAATTTCTGTAGGGGGCAGGAGCAGTGTCTCGTAGGCTTTTATTCCCAGCACCAAGCAGGGGCCTGATACAGGCTCAGTCAGTGTCTAGATTCCTTTTATTAACATACCAGCCCTGCAAGGCCAATGCTATTATTCCAGTGAGGAGACAGAGGCCAGGCTGAGCTGTCCAGGATCACATAGCTGGTAGGTGGCAGAGCAGAATTTGAACTCAGGTCCACATGTCNCAGCTGGTAGGTGGCAGAGCAGGATTTGAACTCAGGTCCACATGTCTCTAATCGTGATATTCCCTCCACAGAAGCTTAAGGAACTCAGATCAAGTCCTTCTCCCCCTGGGGATCCAGAACTAGTTAGACGCCAACTTGCCACCCCTCTCCTCACTGAGTTCCAGGGACCCAACCTCCAGGGTGGTGATGGTAGGAATTGGGGGTGATGGAGGCTGGAGACTCATGGGGAATCTGGTCCCCTCCCCCAGCGGCCGTGGGTGAGGTCGAGCCATGGCACAGGAATTGCATAACCTACACGAGCCCCTGGAGCCCCTGCTCCACCAGCTGTGGCCTGGGCATCTCCACGCGGGTCTCCAACGTCAACGCCCGCTGCTGGCCCGAGCAGGAGAGCCGCCTCTGCAACCTGCGGCCCTGTGATGTGGACATCCGTCTGCACATCAAGGTGGGTGCACCTCCCGGGGTGGGGCAGGCATCTCAGACCTCACAGAAAAGCTTGGCTTTGAGCCTGGCTCCTGAACTTTCTCATGGGGCTGTTGTAAAATGGGAATAAATAAGCCCGCCTTCTAACGGTTGCTGGGGTAACGTGTGTCAACTAGTTGGTGTGTTATGAATTTCACTCAATGGAAGTGATTATGGTGACCATATTGTTAGAATAGAGGCCACTCTGGAGAGAACCCAGGGACCCTCAGAAGTGCTCTCCTGTGGTGATTCTGAGGGACACGCATGACTGCCTTTCTCCTGTGCTCCTGTGCCAGCCATCACCTGTGTGCACCTCATGACAGCCATGCTGGATGACAGGGGAGCACTAAACGGAGCTGGGGACAGCCAGAGTCAAATGCCTGTCTGCTGCTGACTGCACGTGACTGTAACCGATGTCCCCACATTTCTGTGCCCCAGGCCCCACATCAGTAAAATATTGGGGTGAACCTCAGACATCGCCTCCAGCTTTGAGAGCCTAAATAATTAAAATGAAGCGTCAAGGGTGTAGGGGGCGCAGCAGACTGAGCCTGGCCCTCAGAGTTAGAAGTGGAACTGAGGGCCTGATTGAAGACCTCCTCACCTATGCCTTGGGTCTGTTCATAGGCCTGGTGTCACTTAAAAGAAAAAAAGAAAAAAACATCAGTCCTGATGACTTCTTGGGGATGCTGAGGTCAGGGTTGCCCAGTAGGCCCATCAGCCCAGCTTCCCAAGATTCCTCCTCACTTGTAAGACAGACATTGCTCTCTGCCCATCCCCTACTCCAATCACCCCTATGTCAGTCAATCGAATCCCCCTTCTCTTTTTTCCCTCCTCGCTCCTTCTTCCCCTCTGGTTGGTTTCCCTGCCACACTAGCCTTTGGACTCTTGGTGCTTGGTGGGCAGTAGGAACCCAGTAGACATCTCATAAAGAAAGCATGAATGCAACAGCCAGCAGCAGCAGGGAAAACAGGAGCAAAGGTCCCAAACTCGGTAACTGCATGGTGCACTGGAGGTAGAGGTGGGTTTACCACAAAACTAATTCAAATCCCCTCTTGTCACCCACAGACCTACCTTCTCCTCCCAACTTTGTTTCCATAATTATGTGCCTAACGTGTTTTCTCAAATTGTATGAGCCCCAGGCCCCATGTAGCCTGGATCTGCTCCCCTCCCTCAGTTCTGGCACGGTTCTGGTACATGGTAGACCCCCAGAACCATTAGCCCAATGAATTTAGTAAGTGCCTGCTGTGTACCAGAAATGGAATTAGACTGTAAACACCAAGAAAGAGCTCTGCTCTTGAGTGGCCCGTAGCCCAATGGAGAGACAGAGCTACTTTTAAATAACACTGTCCCAATTGAGTAAGTTGCATAATAAGGGTGTGTGAGTGGCCCTGGGGGGCAGAGGAGGGGGAGGGGAGGGTAAAGGGTGTCCCCAGTCATGGAGTCCCATGATGGTTCTGCCACTAACTAGCTGAGGGCACTTGGTTGACTAAAAGAGCTACAAAGATGTCCTGTGGGCAGTGGCTGAGCAGAAATGGAGGAAAGAAGGGGAGTCGCAGACTGGGAGGTATGACCGAAGCAAAGCAATCCCCATCTGCGGGCTCAGTTGACTCCGGCATAACCTGGCAGGGTCTTGGGGGTCTTGCTGTACTGGGGGAGGGCCTTCCTAGCTTGAAGATGCTGCAGATCTAAAAGTCAGGTGCTGAGTGAAGAGGGACAAGTGAGGGCTTGGTGGGAAGAGGTGGTGGCTCATCCTCTGAGAACCCCAACTGAACCCTCCTTTCCCACAGGAAGGGAAAAAGTGTTTGGCCGTGTACCAGCCAGAGGCGCCCGTGAACTTCACCCTCGCCGGCTGTGTCAGCACGCGCACCTACAGGCCCAAGTACTGCGGGGTCTGCGCGGACAACAGGTGCTGCGTCCCCTACAAGTCCAAGACCATCGACGTCTCCTTCCAGTGTCCCGAGGGGCCTGGCTTCTCCCGCCAGGTCCTGTGGATCAACGCTTGCTTCTGCAACCTGAGCTGTAGGAACCCCAATGATATCTTTGCTGATTTGGAATCCTACCCTGACTTCTCAGAAATTGCCAATTAGGGAGGTACGAAACATAGGGCCCAGGCCTGGCGGGCGCTCGCAAAGCAGCCAGCCCTCTGAGGCCCAACACTGAGCCTTCTCTTGTCCACTTCCTATTCATTTCTGATGACCCTGACCCCTCCCCTCTGATGATCCTTGGCCCCTCCCCTGTCTCCAACCACCCAAATGACCCACTATGCTGCTGCTCAGGCCCTGACTATGAGTCCCATCCTTGGCAGCATTCTGGATACATCCCAAAGAAAGTGCCTGTCTCCATCTGTTCTGGACAACACCAAAGACTGACCCGGCCTGTGCAAGTCACTGGGAGGTCTCCTGAGTCCCATGGAACAGGATCGGCTGGACATGCAATACCACTGATTCCCTCTTGAGATGCCAAACCAGGAAACTCTTTGGATCCACTCAAAAGGACAGATGGATTGAGGACAATGGAATAGTCTATTACTTGAGCCCTGTTGCATGGCACTATAATAGACAGTTTTGACCACAGCACCCCAAAGTAGTTCTGATTCCAAAGATTTGTGTGCCCCAAGGTCACCAAACATCTGCCAAGGGAGGTGAATAGTAGTTTGGTTTGGATTTTTCAAGGAAAATTGTATCTATTACTCCGGGCATTGTTGAGGTTAAGTTTCTCTTCACTCCTGTGCTGTGAAGGGTACATGTTGTATTCATTTCTGTTAGAAAGGCAGTTTGATAAATTTCATTTTTGTTCATGGCAAAAGTCCCTAGTCAATGCTCCAAGGACAGAGCAAGGTCAGACAATTTTCAGAAGGAGCGACGGACCCCAGCATGAATCTCCCTGCCCATCACCAGGACATCAGGATGGGCCAGATTCTTCCTTAAACCCAGATCCCTGCCCAGCCTGGAGGCTCATGGGAGCTGGTGGAGCCCCTGGGGTGGCCTCTCTGACCCCTGAGAGTGGTATCCTGGGACATTCCTCTGTACTTAGGGAGCCTCAACAAGTCCAGGCCAGACCCTCCTGCAATGACCAAGAGGTCCAGGCCGGGTGTGGGTTAGGCCAAGAACTGGTCTAATCTGCATCAGTCTGGGTGGCAAGAGTCACTGGGCTCAGGATACACCGTCTCTTTCTGCCTCAGTGACCCACTTCATAGACTTTGGGTCTGCTGACCTCACACAACCCAGTTCTGGTGTGAAGACAGAGGTTTACCAGTTGTTTAGAAACAGAAACCTATGTAATAGGATGAAAAGCCAAAGACGTCAAAGCTACCAGGAAGACAAGGTTGTCACTAGTGGAAATGAGGCTAGTATTTATTATATTAGTAAAATATAAATATTTACTGTTATAATTCTTTTATTTAGTACCTGCTATGTGCCATGTTCTCAGTGCTTTTCACACACTAGCTCATGGAGACTTCGGGATCATGTTGAAAGTGCCCATTATTATTTCTGTTGTTACAAATGTGAAATGGCAGCTCAGAAAGGTAAGAAATTCGACCAAAGTCACCCGGCTGGTACGTGGGGGCAGCAGGATTCCAATGCAAGCTGGACTGACTTGATAACCATATTTTTTCCCTACTTTTAGAGCTTTCAGATGTGTCAGAGCAGGAAAAGCATGTCAAAATAAGCGATTTCTCGCTCTCAGTTTTTTGCTCTTTTTTACTGTCTCTACAGGTCCTTTTACAAGAGAAGAGAATCTGACATTCAGCTAATTTAGGTGCCTGACTGTCCAAAACCACATATAGACAAAAGCCATGCATTCCCTATACTTCACCCCCTCCTTTAGATCAGAACCCACACTCCACGCATTTACAAGGTGGTTTGGTTTCCCCAACTCTGGGTATTGTATGATGCGCAGTTAAGGGAATTCTGGGTGGGTGGCAGAGGGACTCCTAACCAGGCAAAAGGGGCTGAAATGTGTCCTTCATACTGTGACCTCCTGAGTGCCCCGCCCATTGCAAGGCGCACAGTGGTGCTCCAGGTGGAGCTGGTGAATAAAAGACATTGTCCCTACGTTTATTTAGAAGCCCTCTTCTTCCAAAGGTGTGTGACAATCTAACTTTTATCAGCTGGATCTTACTCTAAGTGTCATAGGAAAAGAGACATGAAATATTTCAAGAAATGTATGTTTTATTTAAAAAACACACAAACCAACACAAACATTCTGTGTGAGGAGAATTTACCCCATGAACAATCTCTTCTATAAGTCTGTGTGGACCGTGTTAGATTTTCTTAGGGTGAAATCACCTGCCATCTACAAAGTGCAAGGACTCAGTGACAGCTGATCCTACTTGAAATTCAGCAGAAGCCCAAGAGCTAGGTTCTCACTGAATTGACATCCTAGTTTGGGAACCTAAGCACAGCTTCTGGGATCCTAGGAAGCCTGGTGGGAGGAATTGGGGGTTATCCTGGGAATGGTGGGAAGGGCTGGGGTGGCCACAACACCCCAGTTAGTATTGTTTTGAGAAATGGACCTGCCCTATGCAGGTGCCAGTTGGAAAGTCTCAGATCCAAGTGTGAGTAGAAACTTGGGCCCAATAAGGAGGCAGTGAGAATTACCCTGCCTCGGTGTGACCTACTTCAGGAGAAGTTAAGAGTAACAATCCTAATGAGATAATGTGTGGTTACTCAGTGCCAATCACTGTGCCGTTTTCATTATCTTACTAATTACCACGGTAATTTTAAGTAAGCCTCTCTTCTCCATCCTGTAAATGGAAAATCTGAGACTCAAAGGGGCTGAGAAATCAGCCCCCAAAAGCTGACACCCAAATCGCAGCGTATTCCTCTCTGCCTTGCTCTTGGGGAGGCCTCAGGGCGGAGCACGAGTGACCCCTGTCAGAGTGTCACTGTGGCAGGGGAGACAAAGTCCGTCAGACAGGTCGCCTTGCCCAGCCCTGTAACTGCGTGTCCTCAGACAGGGGGAGACACACTGAAGTTCAGAGAGCCTTGGAGGAGGAAAGCTGCGCTGCGCCTGGAGGGACTTCGCCGGTGCACTTGGGGG